TCTCCCCTGAATATCAATGAAGTCCCTGAAAGGCAGATAGAGTGGGAATATCATCAAGGGTCTATTCATATTTGGTATTTTCCTATTCTCTTCTGTTGTGTTCAATTCTGCCTCACTCTGTTCATTTTCTGATGTGGTTTTTTTTTTCTCGCCTTTTTCAATCTTCATTCATTTCTCCAACTCACCTTCTCTTACCCCGCTAATGTTGTGCGTGTCATCAAAGAGTGTACCACAGTTAGTTTGCAGGAAACATACAAACCATTCTCCCTGTTCTATTTACAAAAGATTGAACGCATTAAGCAACAGAAACATCCTTCCCATTTTGCATTATCATTATTGTCTTCCACTAATGAACATTCAATGTGAAGAAAATTAATATATATATATATTTCTAATGAGGTGCACTGACCTTCTTCTCTTACTCTGAGGATCACTTTGTAAGATAACTTGAGGAGGAAAATCTATACCTTTCCTACATTGTGTTTGATCTCACTGTGCTAAGATGTGGAAGTATTTTTCTTAGCAGATGCTAAGAAATTTAAATTCCCATCATTTCCACACTGACTACTACATGTTTGATTGCAGCTGTAAAATCTCAGTTTTGCCTCACTGCAGCTTTATTCATCACATTCACAGTGCAGCCTTCTGCACATTATGGCCTCTTTACAACAGTTGCCTATAGAGTGCCACAGTGACGCGTCCTAAAACCCGGAAGTAAATTCCTTCCGGTTCCTTCGACAAAAACGCAATGCAATTTCTGCATAGGATTTTGGAAAATAGCTCGAAATAAGGTCTGTGGTTGAGACACATTTAAGAGACGGATCACGTTTTGTTCACCCGGATAATACCCATATGTCTACCCTACTTTTATAATTTTCTAATCATAAATCTAGTCGCCAGAAGCAAAATGCTAACGTTATTCTATAAACGAACTACAGCAGGGTCGCTGCTTCAACGTCACGCCAACTTAAGATCCGTATTCAAAACTACATTATTCAAAAGTGTCACTTTTGAATAATGTAGTTTTGAATACGGATCTTAAGTTGGCGTGACGTTGAAGCAGCGACCCTGCTGTAGTTCGTTTATAGAATAACGTTAGCATTTNCAGCAGCAGTGACCCCACTGGTGATTTTTGACAAGTTTACGCGTCTGAAAAACGATGGTTGTTAACAAGTGGCTGAATAGGACTACAGAAGTTGTCAAGGCCGTTTAAGTCATTACACCGAACACGTAAACACTCCCGCTAAGTTTGTTTTTCCCCGTGTTCTGCTTGAAAGCAAGTACCTGCCTCCTGCAAA